GACCCCTCCCCAGCTCCGCTGCCCTTCTCTGGACACGCTCCAGCCCCCCCAGCTCCTTCGCGCAGGGGGGGGCCCAACCCTGCCCCCAGCACTCGAGGGGCGGCCCCCCCAGTGCCCAGCACAGGGGCACGCTCCCTTCCCAAGCTCTAAAACGTAGGGAATCCATCTCCACGCCGACACCGATTCGAGCGAGCCCGCAGAAAATATTAAAGAGGGTAAATCACATCTTTGAACGCTGTCCTCCGCCATCCCCCAAAAGAACTTTGCGCCCGTCGCCTTTACCCAGCAGGAAGCGAACACCCTTCCCGTGGGAAGCGCCGTTCTTTGCCGCTTTTCTCTGCTCCTTCACACCACCGCATCCCTCGGGATCCGAAAGGGTTTGAAATCCCGAGGCATCCCGACCCTTCGGTAACAACGCGCGGCCTCGGCTTCGAGAAAACACAGCCCAAGGCTTCCCCCTGTCACCCGCGAGGGGAGAGGACCGTCGATCGTAATACTAATTAATGAATAACGACTCTTGGCTGGCAACCTCCTTTAAAACACTGCCTTATCAGGAAAGGAATTGCTGCCTCCGGGGATATCTGATACCACCAGGAGCAACCGCGACGCGCCGGATCGCTCCACCGGGTTTTTTTGGGTTTTTTTTTGTTTTTTTTTTTCAACAAAAGGACGCGCCGGATCGCTCCACCGGGTTTTGGTTTTTTTTTGTTTTTTTTTTTTGGTCTTCTGCCATTTCCATAATTAATTTCAATCTCCAAAGCTGTAAATTAAACCTCGCCGCGATTCGAGCTTGGCGGCGGAAGTCGTCGTCCGAAGTTCGACCGCCCAGAGGAAAAGCGCCCTTCGGGGCGCGGCGGCTTTGGCTACGGGTTATAAATTCGGTGGGAAAATGAGTTTTGTTAAATGTTGGTAACACCGGCACCGAGATGAAGGCGACGGCTCGGGGTAAGCGCCACGGCTCCCGTTTGCTTCCTGGAGGGGTAGGAAGAGGGAGGCGGTATTTTACCACCATTAAAATAGGAAAGGGTTGCGCAAGAAGGATTTTGGAAGAATCCCCAGACACTCAAAAGGTCGGCTAATATCAGCGCTCCCAAACCCCCGCAGCTCCGGGGACGGAACGTCGAGAGCAGGAGCTTGGCTGGGGGGTAGGGGGGGGGGAAGGGCGCGTTTCAGACCCGAGCCCTTGGCAATGGTCGGGCTGAGCTGGGCTTTCGCCGTGACCTTAGGCCGGGGCTGTGCCAAACGCAGAACAGAGGAGCCTTTTCACCGCTGAGCTGCGCTTTCCAGATACTTAAAGGGCTTTCTTCTGCCCCGGTTTATTTTCCGTCATTATTCCCAGCTTGCCGGGCGATCGGGAGGAAGCAGCTCTTCAAAGCGCGGTGGCAGCCGCGGCGAAGCTGGCAAGGGCAGGAGCCCTAAATCCTTGGGAATAAAAGAGACGTCCTCACGGAGGCCTAAAAACCGCGGAATTAAATGCGACAGCGGCGACGGGTTCCCGGGAGATGGGGAAGGAGCCGGAGGCTTCGCCGCTCCCCCAGGCCACCGAGTTCGGGGGGGGGGTGGTTTTTTTTAAAGAGGGGATCACCCCCGTCTTGAAGCTCTGGGGGGGGTGCGTAAGGGCAGGCGTTGCCCGGGTTTGGGGGTTTCTTTTTTAAAGAGGGGATCTCCCCAGTCTTGAAGCTCCGGGTGGGTGGGGGCGTAAGGGCAGGCGTCGCCCCCGTGCCTCCATCCAGGGCATCCCGAGCCCCTCGCTCGGCTCCCTCGGAGGCTGAGCCTTCCCAGAGTTAAAATTCAGGGAATTTTGGGGGGGTTAAAGCTGAGGTTT